TCCCATTCCAGCTATTCGGATCTTGTGAACCAGATCCCAACCCATCATCCGACCTTTTTCTGCCACCACTCCCACACACCCTGCCACCACCTACTCCGCTTCCACCGCCCATCACAAAAGCCTGCGGCACACTTGCATTATCTGCCACCGCCACACACGCTTCTCCTCCGCGGCGGTATAATATCGGATTCGGGTGATGACCCGATTGTTGAATTGGGTATCCATGAATTCAAGATTGGTGATGAAGAGCTTCTCGATAACATTATTCTTTAACTTTCTTGGTTTGATTTTGAAGATCTATTTAGAGAAAGAGAAAGGAAGATGTGCTACCTCTGAGTCTCCTGTGTTGGAGGAGGGAGTGTCTGAAATCGCCCGAAATTGGTTGATAGAAATCATTGATTTGGGTTTGGTTGGGGTTGAATTGTATTCATTTTGCATCTGAGAGAACGTATATTATACGGGTTAATGGAAGTTTTAAAAGTGTGAGGGTAGTAGTCAATTTTTCAATTAAAGGGCCGTACTGGACCTAATTATCCCCAAAAATTGTGCCTTAAAAAAAAAGCCCACCCATGATCCAACTACCGAAGCCCAAATTTTTAACATTTTGAAAGAAGCCCACCATTCTCTTCCCTTCCCTTTCCCCTTTCCCCGAATTCCCAATCCCCACCTTTTCCCCAAATTCTCTAAATCCCTTCCCCTTCCAATAACCGATTTACCAAGAGATGGGGATCTTCATCTCGTCGTGAGATTGACCTTTGGTGACTGGCGTTCGCTTGACTCTTCTGCAAAAAATCGACACTGTCCACTACTTTCCCACCAATGTAAGACCTTGACATCTTACTTCTGCTGCTTGAATTCCAGTTCTCAGTAATTTCCTGGATGGGGAGGAAGGTAGATTTAGACTCTGCTAGATTTTCACTACCTACATGTATATTCTTATATATTTTTTTTTTTACTATTTCTGCATTTTTTACTCGGAAAACAGTAAAATAATATTCTTTGCCTTTTTTTTGTTAATATATGAAATTCAATGCCGTAGTTTCAATTCCTGTAATTTCTGAAGCCTTGTTTTTTGGTGTTGAACATTTGATTGGAAAATGAATTTTTGCGAGGATTTGATTTTGGCCAGTTTTTACTTGACAATAATATACTAGCTATTGAGATGAACTGACATGGAGTTACAAAGTCATCTTAAGACTTAAATGAGCAGTTTAATTTTTTGGGCATTTTTTATCACAGTAGGATGTAATTTTTCTTTTACTTTGAAATAATCAAATGAGGAATCATAATTTTTTTTATTTAGCCTAGAAGACTGGATTATAATATGGATTTACATTTCTCTGCATATATTGTACTCAAGTTGTACACTGAAGATTGAAGAAAGGGGTTTCACGAATCAAATAATCCTTTTCTAATTTAGAATTATAGGACGGAAAACCGGGTTTAANTTTTCTCTCTCTTCATCTCAACTATACATTCATCAAATAAAATAATAATACACACAAATCTAAAACGTTTCAACCACACATCTCCCATCAATCACTATTCTAAAAATTTTCAACCCCCTAAAAATCTACAATAATGGGGGCCAAACATGGGCATAGTAGACAACTCAAGTTGTACAATGAAGATTGAAGAAAGGGGTTTCACGAATCAACTAATCCTTTTCTAATTTAGAATTATATTTAAAAAAGGATTTTTAAGTAGTGCTCCACCTAGGCATATAACCATTTTTGTCTAGAGATAGCAACGATTCGAGGGGTTCGGCCAAAATCATAACCGCACCATCAAATTTTTGGCCATATCATAATCGCATCATAACCACGTAAGTCGNCTAGGCATATAACCATTTTTGTCTAGAGATAGCAACGATTCGAGGGGTTCGGCCAAAATCATAACCGCACCATCAAATTTTTGGCCATATCATAATCGCATCATAACCACGTAAGTCGGTTCGTATCTCGGTTCGATTCGGTTAATAACCACGAAAATAAATTTTTTTTTTTTATAATTCGACTCTCAATTTCTTATGAATATAAAGAAACCGAAGAACGCATAAACTAGCAAGCAAAATAGACTAAAAATCACATTTTCCACCGAATTAATTT